AGATAGAGTTTTGCAGCGGAAATGACAGTAATGGAAAATGGGTGTGTTACCGCCACACCCAGCCCTCAACTTGGCTGGATGTTAAGGCTATCCACCATGAGTTCAACTGAATTAAAACTTGAATTCAAAATCTACTAACATTATTTAATCTAAGTGAGGACTACACTAAATTCTTCTAAAGCGCTCTCCAGGCTCGTCAAACATCATGAGCTTCATATTCATTATTACCTGCACAAATAAAGTGCAGAAAACGAAACAAAGAAAAGAAAACAAAAATTAGCTTTAGAGCTAAGTAAGTACTACCCAACCCCGTAAAATAATCAAGTTTGGCGAAAATAATTTTTCATATAATACTATATAAAAATACTCACACCACCGCTCTTCTTTTTAATCAAAACATCATTTATCAACTTTATAATCTCAAATACACTTATAGTTAAAAATATTATTTATAAGCTCCCAACAATTAATTAATATCTCAAAAGAAGTATCACTTTTCAAAAATAACTTTTGAAGCTAAAAATATCACCATTCCGAAATCAATGTCACTTTCAGATTCTTTTAAGATGGGCGAAACTCAAGATTCCTCGAGCCCAATGAATCGTTGTTGTGTACGACTCATCCCGGAATTCCGGCTCCCACCGACCACCAATTGGAAACTGAACTTCACCCTTAAGTGTGCACACCCCCTAAAAGGGATTCCAAGCCCTCCAAGTAGTAAGAAGTCCAAGTAGTTCGGACAACGTCCCCCTACCTCACAATGGGTTAGAAACCCGGGTAATTAGAAACTACTACCGCGGCCACCAAAGAACTTTTAAAGTTCTCAAAAGAAATACCGGGAATCTCCCGCCACCAATATTTACCGGGATTTCTCCCGCCACCAATAATCATCATAAACCTAAACTAAACCCGCGGTATATGGCTCTAACCACCCACACCTCGTGTTTCTCTCGAGATGTCAATAATTATTGAAAAACATTATTCCTTGAAAAATCATCTCTCTATATATAGTCCTACAGAATATCTATTTAATAGATACGTCCACCAAAAATTCACATTCATAAATACTCCAAAATTCTTTTACATAAAAAATTCACTCCAAAGTCATACTAGGGATTAAATCCCAAAATATACCTTCAATATTTCTCAAATTCTTAGTCACCCCAAATAGTACACATTCAAAATTCACACTTAATCACATAATGCATAATAATCATATAATACGAGGAAACAATTTGGATTGGCAGAGAAACTTACCTTAAGTCCTGATGCTCCTAGTTATCTTCCTCTAATCCGGTCTCTAGATAATCACCTTTTTAATTAAGATGATATAATTAGTCATTAATTCAATAATTTTAGCCGATTTTCTCCTTTTTATTCTTTTATTCGAATTTATTAATTTAATTAATTAATTATTCGAGTTAATCACTTTTTATTAATCAAATACCTTATTAATTTCGTCATTAATTACAATATTTGAATTCTAAACCTAAATAAAATATCCGACTATAATTAACTACAACATCCATTTTTTTATTTAATAATCACCATTAATTTACTTTACTCATCAAATATTATTTTATTACTTTACTTAACCCATTAATTTATGAGTTCAAATATTTTAAATATTTATATGAAGTCCGAATCTCTAATAATAAATCATAAAAAGTATTAATTGAATTAGTCCACTAATTACATAATTAAGTTATTTATTAAGTCTATATACAATCAATTATTTATGCTAGCTAACCCAATCTTATTTAATTTTCCTTATTTTATTCCAACATCATTTTTAGTCCAGAATATTATTTTCAAACTCAGTGATTTATTTATTTTACCATTAATATTAATATTTCCTTATTTAATTACTTAACTAGTTTTATATGGCCCAATTAAATTAAATAGATTAAGAATCGACTTTATAAATTAATAACCGTATATAACTATAATTTGGGTCTATATTTGACCTAGTCTGTCCAGATATCTATTTTATAATTATTTTCCATAATTATTCATTTAATTTCATATATCTATTAACCGGTTCAATTACAATAAAATATACTAAATCTTAATTTTTATTAATTATAAATGGTCCATAAGGTCCTAGTTAGTCATATATTTATCCTAGTTTACTCCAATATTTATTTCATAATTATTTTCGTTATTTAGTTAATTATTTACTAAATGTGTATAAATTGGCCCAATTACAATTAAATCAATTAAAAATAGCTAAAAATATTATTTTTCAATTCTGGTTGGTCCGAATATGTATATTTATACTAGGTATTTAATTTATATTTTTCCAGATTTTATTTATTTGATTTACTATTTTATTTTTAATTTTTATTAAAACTGGGCCGAACTGGCCCATTAAACCGACCCGGCCCAAGAGTTCTGACCCAGACAACTGAGTCATCTTCTTCAGGTCGATTCCGGCGACTTCGCCGGAAACTAGAAAACTCCGGCGAGCTATAACTTGACTTACAGATAACGGATTTCGACGATTCAAGTTGCAAAATGATCCTTGCGGCGAGACGAAGCTCCTCCACCCCTATCTACGGCGAAATATCTGCTTTTTATAAAGACCCGCTTCCACAACTTGCAACTCCGGCGAGCAATATCTCTATCGTTTCACGACCATTTTCTACGATTCTTTCTCCGTTGGATTCGTCTTAAGAAGGGGAAGGTTTCTAGAGTGTTTTCAGGGTTTGTTTCTGGCTAAAACGAAGGGTCGAAAATTCTGATCTATATATATATACGTATATGTATTATATAAGTTGCAGATTTCGGGATGAAGAAAACACAAGTCCTAGGCTATTATTTATAGGCGTAGGTCGATGTTTTTAGACTGAGATGTTAGAGTTGGAGCTGAATTTTGATTCTTTTGCACTTTTAGGAGTATTAGGAGTATATTTATTATATAACTAGTATTACGTACGTTATTATATATATAATATAAGTATACGTACGTAGGTATTTATATATTAGGAGTATACTACTTAGTTATAAATTAGGAGTATACGTACGTAGTTATATATATATTAGGAGTATTATTAGTATTACTTAATAATACGTACGTAGGTTTATTAGAAGTAGGAGTAGTTAGTTTAGTTTATTTAAAATACTAACTTTTTATATTATCTATACGTATAAAATCTATACGTATTATTATACTTAAAATAGATATATATCAAAGTTAATTTTATACTAAAATGTTACTTCTATTATCGGACCATTTTTATCTGACTAAAACGTCATAAATTTTGAATTTTTTTTATCTGATTAGCACGTTACCACTGTTGAATTTTTGTCTGACTCAATTAATTATAAAAATGTTATTTCCGTAATATTTTATCTGACTAATAAAAATTATTTTTATTTTTATTTGAATTTTTGAAGTGTCACAAAACGACCCTCGATCCCCTCGGAACTCGGAAGGTTAACCCGAGGGGGGAGCTAATGGTGTATGCTGGTTCCTCCCGATAGGCTCAGCCTTACCAAGAAACCCAGTTTCTTGAAGCCTTCCCTTCACTACCCAAAAAAAGTGGGGTGAAGGGGAGTAGACTCAACGAGAAATCAATGAGTACACAACTCCAACAATCCACAACGGGACACCCTTCGACAAACAGCAACAGGGATCATTACACAACAGAAAGATTATGCCGAAGGCTTCCCCAATGGAACACCTTCGGTACCTGAAAGCTAATAATTCCCGAAGACTATCATCCAACAAATGTTGTCAAATATCGGTCAGGTCCACAACTGGCGGCCTCCGACGTCATCCAATACCGAAAGCTTGATCCTATGATAAGGTGAAAATTTGCTAATTCTAGGCAACAACATTTCAGGAATACCGAAGGCATCTACTCGGCCCTTACTACGATATAAATGTTCTACAGAATTTTCTAAATCCAAGCAGCAATTGCCCCCAGCATCTCATCAAGTGTTGGGCCGCAGGTATGCGATGCCAGCAACAGCCAGCCTGCCGGTGCAATCGGACCGCGTGGCGCTTCGCTTGTGCTATAAAGGGGGAGGAGCGTGCTTCACTATCAGCGATTGCTTTTATTGTAGCGGTAAGCGCAACGATCCACAAGTGGTATCAGAGCCAAGGTCACGGGTTCGACCCCCGACAACAGCATGCTGCGCAGTTGTAGGCTGGCAGGTGTTGGGGGGGAGATTGTTGGGCCGCGGGTATGCGGTGCCAGCAACAGCCAGCCTGCCGGTGCAATCGGACCGCGTGGCGCTTCGCTTGTGCTATAAAGGGGGAGGAGTGTGCTTCACTATCAGCGATTGCTTTTAGTGTAGCGGTAAGCGCAACGATCCACATTAAGCACCGAAGAGAATGCTCCCAAGCATTGCCTGAAGGCGTCTCATGCCGAGGTTGGACTTTAAAAGTCCTAAAGTCCACACTTTGGGATCTACCAAAAGCCGAAGGCTCCTCACATATCGCCAGAGGCAAGTGCTCACAGGTCAAGGGAAATTATTCTACAATCCTGAAGGCTCCCTTTACCGAAGGCCACATGATATTCAAACACTTAGAAAATTTTCTAAGTCACCCAAATGGCCCTCGGCCAACTCACATTGCAACAAAGGCCACTCCACTTCATACCGCAAGAAGTGCCTGCTAACCGGAGGCTAGGCGGCTAATTCATACTTGGGAAATATTTTCTAAGTCCTAAATATTTGGCCCTCGGTCAAATCTTCCTGCAGCCAGAGGGGTAAAATGGCCGAAGGTGTGGTGATGAGGAACACTTAGAAGATTTTTCTAAGTCCCAAAAGTTTGGCCCTTGGCCAACCCTAAACCTAGCCGGAGGCTCCTATCTAATTCAAAATCAAAAGGAAGCTATCAGCGGAAGGCCAAATGCATCGCTACACTTAGAAAAGTTTCTAAGTCCTAAGTATTTGCCCCCCAGTCAAACCATGAGACAAACATACAAAGAAGCAAACACATTCATTCACAGGGCAAAAAGGAAACAAAGAAAAGCAATCAAACAAGAGGCCCAAAGGCAGGCATTCATCCATTCAGAAATCATGAAGTAATGTCGAGAGGTGTTGGATACATACAGGCCGAAGCCAAAAGCTATGAGATGTTCACATTACAAAGACAGTTTAAAATTATACAAATACGGGTTACACATCAAACAACTTCGACGTCCTCTTCGACTGGCTTCGAGGAGACGTCCCCTCCGGCCTCTCCTTCGCCCTCGGCCTCCTTCATCAGTTCTGAATCCTCCAAGTCTGGCCTCTCAACATCTGGGGGAAGGGGCACACGAACATCTGGCTGCAGGGGAGGAAGGCCGTATGCTGCCGGATCAAAGTCTTTAGGCTCCATTTTCAAGTGCCGGGCCATCCTCCAGTAGATGAGGGCCTGAGTAAAGAACTCGCCCCCATCGTAATATTCTTTGCCCTTTCGGGCCAACCACTCCACACCAGGGCCCTCACACCACTCATCAACGAACGCCTCCACAACCGAGGACAGCCACTGATTGCGTCCCTCGGCCTTCCACCCCTCCTCCAGAAACCCGCAGATGGCATCCTCCCGCGCCTTGGCGACGGCCTCCGCCTTGGTGGCCTCGGCCTCCTCAGCGGCCTTCTTGATGGGCTCAGCAGCGGACCTCTCAGCTTCGGCCTTGCCCCGGTTAGCTGCCTTCACTTGTAGCTCCATCTGCCGAAGGCTCTCCTCTAACTGGGCCATCTGCTTTACGGCATCAGAATTCTGATGGATGAGCTGCTTCATCTTCTCATCCTGCTCGGCCTTGTAAAGGCGCCACTCCTCTAACCTCTGGGACTACTCGCCGAAGGCAATGCAAGCATGCAAACCAACAATGGAAACAGTTAGAGCAACCATACACAGATAATCTAAGGAAGAAAGGAAGGGGGCAAAGGAAGAAGTACTTACCGTCAAGGAAGACCGGAGGATCTTGTCTTCGAGGGCGTCATCGTCATAAGCGCCGTGGGCTGACCTGAACTGATGTAGTGATGTAGTCTGAACGGGCCTTGTCTTATTTGGTAAATGTTTGATATATGAGTATCTTACAACCCTTGAATGCTAATCTATATAAGAAAGTCTAATATGATCCTATTTGTTTTGACCTCTTTTAGATCTGTAACCAACCAATTAAATACACCCTTAATGTTAATGCGTGAGCTTCCTTTTTCTAGTTTTGCAATTTTTAATACCTGTATTTCTTTGTGTTTTATTAAAGGATTATTAGTTAAATGTATTCTCAACTTTCATCAAATTCACAAATTTATCTTATACTTTCACTATTATTAGAAAAAGGCTCAAATTTCAATTTTTTTCACAATTATTCACTACAAAATATTTCGCTTGTAGTCACGGATTTGGTCCGTGACTAGTTAGTCACGGTTCTGGTCACGGTTTAGTCACGGATTGTTTAAAAAAAATAGTCACGGATTTGTCCGTGACTACATCCGTGACTATGGTTAGTCACAGACAAAATTCGTGACTAACCTATTCCGGCCAACCCAAATTTGCCTTCGGCGGTTTTTTTTTAATTTGAAATTAGTCACGGACGATTCCGTGACTAATTCCGTGACAAGATAAAAAATTAATTTTTTCAACGTTCCAAATTTAAAGTGCACCGACAAATCGTACAAAAATATGTAGTCACGGACACATCCGTGACTACGTCCGTGACTACATGTTTTATATATGCCGCCTCCGCTTCATTCAACAAAATCACACCATCTATTCCAGATAGAATTGAAGGATGTGTAATCTACCCATCTGATGGATTATAGGTTATCCAAGTATGTATAAAATGTAGAGATTTGAGCTCAAGTATTGTGGAGAAGATGAATAATAGAATGATAATGAATTGAGATCTAAGGTTTACAAGCTCCAAAAGGAGTATAAATAGAGGAATAACGGGCCGGGCCGCTAATATGGGCCCGGTAGCCCAACTACATAAAAGACTAATCTAGTATACAAATGACATATAAGCAGTACAATAATACAAATGATATCTGTAAGATGTGTGTGGGCCGCTGTCCGGGCCCAATAGTCGTGAGACCCGGGGGTCCGAGTCTATATACTCTATCAGGAGTCCCCCACTCTCTGAGTCGAGAGTATTCGAGGCGAAAGAGAGTAGAACTGTGTGCAGATCTGTCGCCGTCTGGTGAGTCAACTTCATGAACAAAAATTTGAAATTCTGCTTCTTTGGTTAACGGAGGCGCTAAGTCCCCCGCTCTCCCAGTCCCCCACTCCTTGAGGCGAGTGTAATGAGGTGAAGAGGAGTAGAGTAATGCGTGTCGGATGATGTCTTCAACAGGGGGCCGAGGGTTGACACCTTTTGATCCACGATGGGGAGATGCCTCGTTAAAAACCTCATTAGGAAAAACCCTGTGGGAAAAATCCTAATGAGGGAAAAAGAGTACACCGGATGCCCCCAAAATGAAACAAAAGGTGCGAGCCCTTCGGCTTGGAGATGGAGCTGCAGCGGTGCCCGTCTGCTGGATGGTCGAGGCCGATCTCCAGATGTGGGTAGCTCATCATGATCAGTAGTCCTAGTCATCAAATAAAGATGACTAAGGGATGGGTCGAGCGACCGTCCACAATATGATGTCTGGTTCATCAAATAAAGATGATCAGAACGTAAGGCCGATGGGCCGAGAGGCCTGTACGAGAGCTCCACGTCGTCAAATAAAGACGATTGGGCGATGTGTGCGGCCGAGGGGCCTGCATAAGAGCTCCACGTCGTCAAATAAAGACGACGGGGCGATGGTGTGGCCGAGGGGCCTGCATAAGAGCTCCACGTCGTCAAATAAAGACGACGGGGCGATGGTGCGACCGAGGGGCCTGCATAAGAGCTCTACGTCGTCAAATAAAGACGACGGGGCGATGGTGTGGCCGAGGGGCCTGCATAAGAGCTCCACGTCGTCAAATAAACACGACGGGGCGATGGTGCGGCCGAGGGGCCTGCATAAGAGCTCCACGTCGTCAAATAAAGAAGACGGGGCGATGGTGCGGCCGAGGGGCCTGCATAAGAGCTCCATGTCGTCAAATAAAGACGACGGGGCGATGGTGTGGCCGAGGGGCCTGCATAAGAGCTCTACGTCGTCAAATAAAGACGACGGGGCGATGGTGTGGCCGAGGGGCCTGCATAAGAGCTCCACGTCGTCAAATAAAGACGACGGGGCGATGGTGCGGCCGAGGGGCCTGCATAAGAGCTCCACGTCGTCAAATAAAGACGACGGGCCGATGGTGCGGCCGAGGGGCCTGCATAAGAGCTCCACGTCGTCAAATAAAGACGACGGGGCGATGGTGTGGCCGAGGGGCCTGCATAAGAGCTCCACGTCGTCAAATAAAGACGACGGGGCGATGGTGCGGCCGAGGGGCCTACAAATGAGCTCTTCATCATCAAATAAAGATGACAGAGCGATATATGGCCGATGGGTCTGCAAATGAGCTTCGCGTCATCAAATAAAGATGACGGAGCGATATATGGCTGAACTATGGGCTCCTTTAGCCTTTCGGCCGGAGACCGCAAGATGTTCGCTATATCTGAATAGGGGGGACGAGGCGGTGGACGCCTGTCTGAATATGAGGGCGACGATGCTGATGAGTCGGTCCGAATATGAGGACGACAACGCTGACGAACCGGTCCGAATATGGGGACGAGGCGATGATAAGCCATGCGTCGTATGAAGGCGACGGTCACCATCCAGAAAGGGAATGGCGAGCCTGGTCGCTAGATAAGGACTTCGGCGCTGGGGCCGGTCTAAATGTGAGGACGAGGCGATGATGAGCCGTGCGTCATATAGGGGCGACGGTCGCCGTCAAGGAAGGGATGGCGAGCCCAATCGCTATAACAAGACTTCGGCGCTGGGATCCGGTCTTAAGATAAATAATCACGTTGCGGCCGAGAGGCTGATCGCGATGTGCGGATGACAATGATGAGGAGCCAGTCCGAAATATGATGATGAGGCGATGATGGAGCCGATCGTCATATAAAGGCGATGGTCACCATCCGGGAAGGGATGGCGAGCCCGATCGCTGGCTCAAGACTCGCGGCGCTGAGGAAGCCGGTCTTGAGATAGATAATCACGCCGAGACCGAGGGGCCGGTCGTGATATGAGGACGACGACGATGAGGAGTCGGTCCAAACAATGATGACGAGGCGATGGTGAAGCCGATCGTCATATAAAGGCGATGGTCACCATCCGGGAAGGGATGGCGAGCCCGATCGCTAGCTCAAGACTCGCGGCGCTGAGGAAGCCGGTCTTGAGATAGATAATCACACCGAGGCCGAGGGGCCGGTCGTGATATGAGGACGACGACGATGAGGAGTCGGTCAAAACAATGATGACGAGGCGATGGTGAAGCTGATCGTCATATAAAGGCGATGGTCACCATCCGGGAAGGGATGGCGAGCTCGATCGCTAGCTCAAGACTCGCGGCGCTGAGGAAGCCGGTCTTGAGATAGATAATCACGCCGAGGCCGAGGGGCCGGTCGTGATATGAGGACGACGACAATGAGGAGTCGGTCCAAACAATGATGACGAGGCGATGGTGAAGCCGATCGTCATATAAAGGCGATGGTCACCATCCGGGAAGGGATGGCGAGCCCGATCGCTTGCTCAAGACTCGGGGCGCTGAGGAAGCCGGTCTTGAGATAGATAATCACGCCGAGGCCGAGGGGGTCGGTCGTGATATGAGGACAACGAGGATGAGGAGTCGACCCTATAATATGATGACGAGGCGCTGATGAAGCCGATCGTCATATAAAGGCGATGGTCACCATCCGGGAAGGGATGGCGAGCCCGATTGCTAGCTCAAGACTCGCGACGCTGAGGAAGCCGGTCTTGAGATAGATAATCACACCGAGGCCGAGGGGGTCGGTCGTGATATGAGGACGACGATGAGGAGTCGATCCTATAATATGATGACGAGGCGCTGATGAAGCCGATCGTCATATAAAGGCGATGGTCACCATCCGGAAAGGGATGGCGAGCCCGATCGCTGGCTCAAGACTCACGACGCTGAGGAAGCCGGTCTTGAGATAGATGATCACGCCGAGGCCAAGGGGCCGGTCGTGATGTGAGGACAACGGCGATGAGGAGCCGGTCCTATAATATGATGACGAGGCGCTGATGAAGCCGATCGTCATATAAAGGCGATGATCACCATCCGGGAAGGGATGGCGAGCCCGATCGCTGGCTCAAGACTCACGGCGCTGAGGAAGCCGGTCTTGAGATAGATGATCACGCCGAGGCCGAGGGGCCGGTCGTGATGTGAGGACAACGGCGATGAGGAGCCGGTCTTATAATATGATGACGAGGCGCTGATGAAGCCGATCGTCATATAAAGGCGATGGTCACCATCCGGGAAGGGATGGCGAGCCCGATCGCTAGCTCAAGACTCGCGGCGCTGAGGAAGTCGGTCTTGAGATAGATAATCACACCGAGGCCGAGGGGGTCGGTCGTGATATGAGGACGACGACGATGAGGAGTCGATCCTATAATATGATGACGAGGCGCTGATGAAGCCGATCGTCATATAAAGGCGATGGTCACCATCCGGGAAGGGATGGTGAGCCCGATCGCTGGCTCAAGACTCACGGCGCTGAGGAAGCCGGTCTTGAGATAGATGATCACGCCGAGGCCGAGGGACCGGTCGTGATGTGAGGACAACGACGATGAGGAGCCGGTCCTATAATATGATGACGAGGCGCTGATGAAGCCGATCGTCATATAAAGGCGATGGTCACCATCCGGGAAGGGATGGCGAGCCCGATCGCTGGCTCAAGACTCGCGGCGCTTAGGAAGCCGGTCTTGAGATAGATGATCACGCCGAGGCCGAGGGGCCGGTCGTGATGTGAGGACAACGGCGATGAGGAGCCGGTCCTATAATATGATGACGAGGCGCTGATGAAGCCGATCGTCATATAAAGGCGATGGTCACCATCCGGGAAGGGATGGCGAGCCCGATCGCTAGCTCAAGACTCGCGGCGCTGAGGAAGCCGGTCTTGAGATAGATAATCACACCGAGGCCGAGGGGGTCGGTCGTGATATGAGGACGACGACGATGAGGAGTCGATCCTATAATATGATGACGAGGCGCTGATGAAGCCGATCGTCATATAAAGGCGATGGTCACCATCCGAGAAGGGATGGTGAGCCCGATCGCTGGCTCAAGACTCACGGCGCTGAGGAAGCCGGTCTTGAGATAGATGATCACGCCGAGGCCGAGGGGCCGGTCGTGATGTGAGGACAACGGCGATGAGGAGTCGGTCCTATAATATGATGACGAGGCGCTGATGAAGCCGATCGTCATATAAAGGCGATGGTCACCATCCGGGAAGGGATGGCGAGCCCGATCGCTGGCTCAAGACTCGCGGCGCTGAGGAAACTGGTCTTGAGATAGATGATCACGCCGAGGCCGAGGGGCCGGTCGTGATGTGAGGACAATGGCGATGAGGATCCGGTCCTATAATATGATGACGAGGCGCTGATGAAGCCGATCGTCATATAAAGGCGATGGTCACCATCCGGGAAGGGATGGCGAGCCCGATCGCTGGCTCAAGACTCGCGGCGCTGAGGAAGCCGGTCTTGAAATAGATGATCACGCCGAGGCCGAGGGGCCGGTCGTGATGTGAGGACAACGGCGATGAGGAGCCGGTCCTATAATATGATGACGAGGCGCTGATGAAGCCGATCGTCATATAAAGGCGATGGTCACCATCCGGGAAGGGATGGCGAGCCCGATCGCTGGCTCAAGACTCGCGACGCTGAGGAAGCCGGTCTTGAGATAGATAATCACACCGAGGCCGAGGGGGTCGGTCGTGATATGAGGACAACGGCGATGAGGAGCCGGTCCTATAATATGATGACGAGGCGCTGATGAAGCCGATCGTCATATAAAGGCGATGGTCACCATCCGGGAAGAGATGGCGAGCCCGATCGCTGGCTCAAGACTCGCGGCGCTGAGGAAGCCGGTCTTGAGATAGATGATCACGCCGAGGCCGAGGGGCCGGTCGTGATGTGAGGACAACGGCGATGAGGAGCCGGTCCTATAATATGATGACGAGGCGCTGATGAAGCCGATCGTCATATAAAGGCGATGGTCACCATCCGGGAAAGGATGGCGAGCCCGATCGCTGGCTCAAGACTCGCGGCGCTGAGGAAGCCGGTCTTGAGATGATGGACGGCGCTGGGCGCTCGTCTGAGAATGAGGGACGGCGCTGGGCGCTCGTCTGAGATGATGGACGGCGCTGGGCGCTCGTCTGAGATGATGGACGGCGCTGGGCGCTCGTCTGAGATGATGGACGGCGCTGGGCGCTCGTCTCAGATGATGGACGGCGATGGGCGCTCGTCTGAAAATGAGGGACGGCGCTGGGCGCTCGTCTAAGATGAGGGACGGCGCTGGGCGCTCGTCTGAAAATGAGGGACAGCGCTGGGCGCTCGTCTAAGAATGAAGGACGGCGCAGGGCGCTCGTCTAAAATGAGGGACGGCGCTGGGCGCTCGTCTACAAATAAAGGACGGCGTTGGGCGCTCGTCTAAAAATGAGGGACGGCGCTGGGCGCTCGTCTACAAATGGAGGACGGCACTGGCACTCGTCTAAGATGAGGGACGGCGCTGGGCGCTCGTCTAAGAGTGAAGGACGGCGCAGGGCGCTCGTCTAAGATGAGGGACGGCGCTGAGCGCTCGTCTAAGATGAGGGACGGCGCTGGGCGCTCGTCTACAAATGGAGGACGGCGTTGGGCGCTCGTCTGAGATGATGGACGGCGCTGGGCGCTCGTCTGAGATGATGGACGGCGCTGGGCGCTCGTCTAAGAATGGAGGACGGCGTTGGGCGCTCGTCTAAGATGAGGGACGGCGCTGGGCGCTCGTCTAAGAATGAAGGACGGCGCTGGGCGCTCGTCTACAAATGGAGGACGGCGCTGGGCGCTCGTCTCAGATGATGGACGGCGTTGGGCGCTCGTCTAAGAATGGAGGACGGCGTTGGGCGCTCGTCTAAGATGAGGGACGGCGCTGGGCGCTCGTCTAAGAATGAAGGACGGCGCTGGGCGCTCGTCTACAAATGGAGGACGGCGAGGACGTCTCCTGCTTAGCTCTGGGAAATCTCCCAGACCCCAAATTCCAGTTTCTTCATTCCTTTTTTATTTTTCAGAACAATTTTTGGTTGATTTTTTGTGATTTGGATGAATTTTTTGTATGTTTTGGGAGGATTTCTCACTTGATTTTGCTCTAATCTCTCAATGAAAGCACCATTGATGGATTATAGGTTATCCAAGTATGTATAAAATGTAGAGATTTGAGCTCAAGTATTGTGGAGAAGATGAATAATAGAATGATAATGAATTGAGATCTAAGGTTTACAAGCTCCAAAAGGAGTATAAATAGAGGAATAACGGGCCGGGCCGCTAATATGGGCCCGGTAGCCCAACTACATAAAAGACTAATCTAGTATACAAATGACATATAAGCAGTACAATAATACAAATGATATCTGTAAGATGTGTGTGGGCCGCTGTCCGGGCCCAATAGTCGTGAGACCCGGGGGTCCGAGTCTATATACTCTATCACCATCTCATATCATTTTTCCTGTTTATGCAGATAAGGTATGTAATTTGAATTACGTATTTTTTGTATGAATTAGTTGGTTCAATTTAAGTGTAATAAATTAGAGAGATTATTAATTATAAGCCAAGTAACGAATTATATATATGTCAATTTCATTTAATTTAGTGAAAAATAAGTTACTTAAACGTAGGTTTAATCGTAGTGACGCATTAAGTTAAATTAATTAATTAGCTACATTAGTTAATTAAACTTTTGTTAATATTATTAGTTAAATTTAAATTAAATGCATTTAAATGCATGAAGTAATTAAATTAAATACTTAATTAATTACGGAAATAAATTCCTTAAATTTAGTTACGTTAAACGTAGGTGTAATTTAAACATAGGGTTAATTAAGTTGTATTTAATTAAAATTACGTAAATTAGTTAAATTGTAGATGATATTATTACTTAAATGTAAGTATTATTTAGTTCAAATGAGTTTATATATGATTAAATATAAGTATATGATTTCTTTGTTAGCAATTATTGTTAAGGCGGCCTAATTTAGGATTAATAATGATTTAAATTAGGGTTAGTTAATTGAAACATTACTTAAGTATGATGATTTGTGATTGTGAATTACGTAAATTAGTAAAAAAAATTATAATATGAGACTCCTCAGGTTCCGCAGATGGGTCATATGGGTTATCATTCTAACTCCGGATATGGTACCATTCCTGCAATGAGGTCGACATTCGGATCTCTGTCGTCTGATTTTCTCAATCAATTTCAGTCATCCGGTGGAGGGAGCCGAGGAAGCAACCGAGGAGGCAACCGAGGAGGCAACCGAGGAAGCAACCGAGGAGGCAACCGAGGAGGCAACCGCGGCAGCCGAGGAGGTACCCGACCCTTAGACATCGTGGATGCTGAAGAGGATCATCATCGTGATTATGATGATAATGATGATGCATATGATTATGATGATCCTAATTTTTATCATAATGGAGTCAGACGTGCGGGCATGTAATGATACATTTTTAAAGTTTAACATTTCATATTAGTTTTATAGTTCAGTCTGTAATAACATTTTTTATGTTTAACATTGTATGGATTTTGTTTTTCATTTAATGTTCTAATAATTGCTCTAAAGAAAAATTAAAATAACTTTTAATTAATTTTTTTTTTGAAATGGAAAAACTTTTTTTTAAAAAACAATAACATTAGTCACGGACTAAATCCGTGACTATTTTTTTTTGTCCCGAACGATTTTACAAATTCAAAATTTATTATTTTTTTTTAAAAAAACAGTCACGGATAAATGTCCGTGACTAATACAAAATTTTGAAAATGTAAACCGCAGGCTTTTAAAAATTCAAAAATTTCAAAACTTAGTCACGGATTAGTCTGTGACTAAAATGGCCGAATTTTAAAAACAAAAAAAAATCTTAGTCACGGATCGGTCCGTGACTAAAATAAAAAATAAATAAATTAAAGGTAGTCACGGACCAGGTCCGTGACTACCGTGCCGGAGTAGCAATTCCGGTCAAGAATTAGTCACGGACCGTGTCCGTGACTAATCCGTGACTACACTTAGTCACGGCCGAATTTCAGTGACTACATCGTAGTCACGCGGAATTAGTCATAGACTTAGTCACAGACAAAATCCGTGACTAACATAGTTAGGGGGTGTTTGGATCTAATTCTTAAAACTGCTTCTGCTCCTTCAGGGAGTAGAAGGAGAAGTTGGAGTGTTTGGGTGAAAATGCAGAAGTGATTGTGGTGCTCTAATTTACTCCTAGAATCAGTTTTTTTAGAAGCTGGGGGTACCGGCTTCTGAAAACTGATTCTGATTCTGTTTCTGTTTTAAAAAAAGAAGCAGAAGCAGAATCAGTTCCAAACACCCCCTTAGTCACGGATTTTTTACACTGCGGTCCGTGACTACATGTGATTTTTTTTTGCAGTGATTACACTTTCAATGAATGAATTAGTTAAACTTAAGAAGAAAATCATTTTTATATTTCATATTTTTCACTTTTTTCTAGTTTGAAATTACAAAATTGTATTGCTTATATCTTATTGGTATTGATAAAAATGTGTAATTTTGAAAAAACAAAAAGGAAAAGCATAATTGTTGAAAAAGATAAAGTTTGAGTCTTTTTTGATAAAAGTGAAAGAATAAGATAAATTTGTGAATTTGATAATAGTTAGGGATAAAATAAGCCAATAATCCTTTATTAAATCTCCCTACAATGGATTCACGTATTCAATTCTATGTTGTAAAAACCATACCGGTGAGCGACCAAACAAAATATCGGGTCAAGGGTCAACTCGGACCTGGTGGGCCAACCCGGTCAAGACCGGTAAACCCGGTCAACGCCACACACACACACAAACACACTTATCTTCTATAAATAGTTAAATTTGTAAAGGAAATAATATTTCTTTCCTAATTTTAAAAACTTTTATTTCCTATGGAATAGTACATGAATTTTTATTTTTTAAAACTAAACCATGAATGCATTTTAATTAGAGGGAAAAAAATAAACATAACATCAATTACAAAATCATAAAAGTATTGTACATATGTTTTTTACTGTATACATATTCTGATAGTATATAATAACAATAATGTGTATAATTAGTTTTCATTTTATGAGGCTTTAAGACGTAATTATATTTACTAAAGGATAATATTGCTTGAGAAACAAATGGTTTCAAGAGACTATAGTGGCCGAGTTTGTAGCATTGCTGCTTTGCAGGGCTTTAGGAGCCAGGATCAACTCCCCTGCGTTTCCTCTTTTCTACCCCAAGGGCGGTTTTTACTGGGTAGCGGGTTTCTGCAGTCCCGGCCAGGTGCGGGTTTGATCCGGTTTACCGGGTAATTCCAGTTTTTACTCAATTAGCAGGTTAGGGTTCAACCGGACCAGATTGGTTGCCAGTTCACTTGATTCTGGGCTAATCCGGCCGATCCGATCCGGTTCTTTAAACATAGATTCAATTTAATTTGAAATCCTCAACCTATTCCAACTAAAAATACAACTTTTACAACATTGCTCGAAACAATTTGTACACACGAATAGAAGCAATTAAAGAATGACCCTAAAATCACAAGGGCCGATAAATGACCCTAAAGTGAGTAATACTACGTAATAAACAATTTTAAAAGAAACAACGTAAAACTGGAGTTGGTGGCGTAGTTTTGGACCTGAACATGATGAAATCACGATTCTCGGGCGGACTCAAATTGAGATCCAAATCCAATTCAAACCCGAACACTCTCTTGCTACTAGTCGTCCTCTTCAACACCGGGAGCGCCGCCACCGATGCCACCGCCGCAGCCGATGCCGCGACAGCCTCCACCGTCGATTTCTCTAAACACCCATTCATCGACGCGGCTCGATGTCGCCTCATGTGCCCGCCCAAGGCCTGGCCCATCGAGAACTCAAGCCCACAAATGGAGCAGCAATGCATCTTGGGCTTTTTCGACACTCCCGCCACTTGCTCTACTCCCTGAGCGAGAAGTTTGGGCCTCTTGTGGCTGGCCCGATGACCACCCAACGCCTGGAACGAGGAGAATTTCTTGTAGCACGTGTTACATTGGAAAGACGAAACATCATCGGACGGCGGCGGCGGTGATGACGGTTTTCCGAAGTTCGCCAATAGGAGGAGGTAGTTAGCCATGGCTAGTGTTTCCAAGTCCTCACCTTCTGCATTTCTTTTCATAACGAAAACTAAATTGTTAAAGTATTTGTCACACGTGAGTACAGTGATTTGTTAGAGATGAATGATCGTTTGGAATTGGGTTTGGAGTTTGGTTTGGGTGGTAGGGGTATATATATATATATATATATATATATATATATATATATATATATATATATATATATATACACACGTTGTGTTGGGTAGGTACGTAGAAGAGTTGACTTCAACAATTGTGTGAAGCACGTCTGGCCTGTTCAATTTCGCACGTGGACAGTTTAACCATTTACTAATGCATTTTTTCCAGAAAGTCCAACATTCATAAAAGTCTTCATTTCACAGCCGTCTTGTTGTCTTTCTTTATGAATAAACTGAATTGAAAAGGAGCTTAACTTCCTGTATGTAATTAAATAAGACCTTGACTTTTTTAACTCCTAAATAAGACTAAATTTTTCCGTTTTTCCAAAATTGCCCATGTTTTCCCGTCTGACCTTTTCCTAACGCACCATATCTCTCGGCAATAGCCTCGCCTAATCGTCTCTCTCCTTCCTCCACATCTAAGCAAGGCAGAACACCGTCAAAATAAAGGAAGTGCTGAGCTAAAATAGTGTTGCAGCGGTGCGGTAGTATTTTTGGTGCGGCGGTGTGGAGGTGCGACGGTGCGGCGGTGCGGCTGAAGGCCCTGCTGCGTAACCTGCGTTCTCTCTTCTCCTCTCCTCATCTTCCTCCTTCTTATTCTTCCTCCCCCTCCTCTTCTTCTTCTTTTTCTCCTCTTCTACTTCAAACTATTTGATAGTGCTCTGTACATACGAACAAACTGAAAGCAAAGAAATAAGGAATGTATTTTATTGTCATTGACATTCTTATGACATTGTCATTAACATTATTATGACATTGTCATTGACATTCTTATGACATTGTCATTGTCATTGTTTTTTATTGACATTCTTATGACATTGTCATTGACATTCTTATGACATTGTCATTGACATTCTTATGACATTGTCATTAACATTCTTATGACATTGTCATTGACATTGTTTTTTATTAACATTCTTATGACATTGTCATTGACATTTTTATGACATTATCATTGACATTGCTACAACATTGACATTGTTAAGTATTGACATTGTTAAGACATTCTGATGATTTTCACTTTATTTTGATAATATTTAAAGTATAGTGACATACATAGTGTCATTATTTCACCATTTTAACATGTTTTGACATTCCTTCAACAGCTGCCATTGGAGTCATAAACATACTCCTGGAGTAATTCTTCTCATGGAAGAGGAAGGCCATTGGAGAACACCGGCAGTAATTCTTCTTGTCGGTGCCCACTAGAGATTGCGATTTTCACTGCCGGTGTGCCGCAGCCCGCCACCTGAGTGGCCTGCCGCTGGTGGTTTCCGGAGTAGTCGACGAGCCCCGTTCTTCTTTTCTTTCTTCGAACTCGGCTCTTTTCTTCTGACGATCTCAGCTCGATCTTTCATCGCTCCTTCGCATATTGTGCTCCAGAACATAAGATTCGCATATTGTGCTCCGTATGATGGCAAAATGGCAGCAAGTAAGATTTGCAGGCAACATCATTTTTAGGCGTGTTTTTGTCCTTCCGTTAAAAATTAGTCTTATTTAGGTCTTAAAAAGTTCGGACTCTTATTTACGTTCCTAAGCCTTGTTTTACTCCTATTCAAGTCTTTTTCTCAAAACACTTTATTTTGCATGAATAGTCAATCAGTATTTATTATAGCGTGAGCGGGAAGCCACAAAGTTTTTTTGTTATTTATCCCGGAAGACAAACCGCCAAAATCAGTGGGCTAAATGGTAGGAGTCAGATACCAGTATTTCATTAAAAAATGCCTGAGTACAAGAAAGATGGGGACTATGCCAATACCTCTTCAATAAAAAGCTACAAATAACAATAAATAAGGCCCGGATGGAAAAAACCAGCCCGGAAAAGACAATGAAAGATTACTGGACACATAACGAGGCTATACAAAAATGATCCAAAAAATAGGCCCGTGTTGCCATCACAGGTAATTTGTCCGGGCTTGGGAAGTGTTGTAATGTGCCCGAGTGATATTGGGCCAAGAAATGCGCAGTCCCATTAACTTCCTGGTAAGCATGATGAAAACATAGCCCTTTCCTATTTGCGAGCTATAGGGTTTCCTGAATAAGGGTTTTTCATTTTCGCACATCAGGAATCAGGAGAAAACTTAATTATCGCCATAGATGAGTCTGTTTCCACCTCAAACTCACTGCAACCTGCATCCATCGCCCAACGAATAGCCCGCGATATGGCTTGAATCTCTGCTTCGAGTGCTGATGCTGCCTCAATGTCGAAGCTAGCTGCACAAACAAGCTGACCGCTTCAATTTCTCAGAATCGCGCCTCCTGAAGCCAAACCAGATAAGTAACGAGCATCAGTATTTAGTTTCATCACTCTATTCGGTTTATGCCACCTTAGAATCTGCATATTATACTTTGTTCTGCAAAAATCCTCGCGGATTAAATTTTCACGGTCAACATGGCTGACTTTATGGATAAAATATATTGTACACCCGTCTGTACCGTGCGCATGGTACAACCGACCTTTTTCTTCCTCCTGGGCTTTTGCGCGCTTCTTCCGCTCCGCCTTCGCTTCTTGGATCTAGCTTCGCATCAGGTTTACTATTCATTCGTCACCATTGCTCACCATTGGCCCTCATCTCCTCCATCTCGTCGTCACCTCTCAACACTCATCCCCTTCTCCTCCAGCTCCCTCCTCGTTGCCGTCACTCACCATTCACCCCCTTCTCCTCCAACACGAACTCAACGGCTCCGTTGGCTTTAGTTACCTCTTCTCCCTCTTTTTTTCTTTCCACTTTTTTCCCTTTTCCCTTTTACTTAAGTAGTTTTGTTGTTTGACGGGAGTCTAATTCGTTGTTAAGGAATCCTTGTTGCTATTGATCTCAAATGAGCTTTATATTAAACTCAAATGAGTATATGTCTAAAAAGATGAACATACACAAATGAATATTGAGCACATTAGAAATGAGTTTTATGTTAAACTCAAATACGTATAATGCCCAAAATGAATGAGCACACACAATGAGCTTTTGAATTTTTTGATACTCATTTTGTAAGTTGTGTATGCTCATTTCGTACTGCATTATGCTCATTTGGTACTACATTATGCTCATTTTATAAGGTTGCACATTTCAAACATATCATACTACATTAGATTCTCATATTGAAATTAATTAAATTTGATTAAGACATAATTTAAGACTTTTTAATAAACCAAAAAATAATAAATAGAAAGTGATATATAAGGTATGCAGCAAAGACCGAAGTTCACCGTTAGGCTTCTAGTACTCAAAAGAACAGACTCGATGCTTATCAAAATTGCATGCAATCCGTGATTTTCACCAAAATTACCAGCTTTCCACCGATTGTACGGCTGGCACCGTACGGTCAGTTGCAAGATATACTCTTCCGAGTTTATGGATGTGTAATCATTTTTACTCCCTCTTCCCAAATTATCTTCCAATTGGGGTTTTAGAAATGTTGCAGTAGATTATTTTAGCAGGAATGGAAAATGAAAGTTGGGAAATAATTCACGAGTAAAGGTAATATCAATTTACTTTATTTAAAATTTAGTATGTTTGCATTTAGATTTGTTTCACCTTCGGACTACATAAGATTAGTTTTAAATAAATCATATCAAACTATATCAAATTCAAATAAATTAAAGCAGACTTCAAAAATAGTGAAATCTATCTTAATATAATAACAAAAGGATTCTTGGAGAACAAGTTCCCGCCAAAAGACATGTGTGGACATATAAAAATAAAATTTGTTTCACAACATGGCTTAATGGTTACAATGTATCTTGGTATGGAATGTTGGGATGGAACATTCTGGATAAAACATTGTTGCTATGCAGTAATGAGGAGAGACTTTGGTGCGGTAAACCATATTTACAGGAGGCATCTAGGGATGGGCAAAAATACCGAACCGAACCGGTATGGTACCGAACCAAATCGGTATGTTAATTACCGGACCGAAAAAAGGGGTTTGAAATGGATCTCAAAATTTTTGTCCTGGTCTGAACCGGACCGTACCGGTTCTAAACAATGTCATGACCGGTTCTCATAAAATGAGAACCGGTACCGGACCGAACCGGACCGAAGTATGATTAAATTATTTAAATTTACATTTATACCATTAGTTTGAATAGTGCTTTCACACTTTCACCGCCTTTGCTAGTTCATAGGAAGCCTGGAATCGGACCGATGTATGATTTAATTATTTAATTTGTACTACTATAGTTTAACCGAAATTTATTAATTATGTAATACTACCTCTGTCGCAAATTGATTTGCAAAATTAACTTTTCTTGGTCAAATATTTTCATTTTATTCACTTAATTAGAATGTCAATTTTCAATTATATTTAATTTGGAGCTTGCAACTTTGAAGAGATTTTAATGTATGTAGTTTCTGAATATGTAAACTTTAATTGTTAAAATTTGAATTAATTATCAGTAAAGAGAATTTAATTTTAACATTGATTGACCAAAAAATATTGACTTTACATGTCAATTTGGGACGGAGGGAGTATGAAAATTGATAAATTATGGAAATATTGACCACTGTTACATATATAAAAAAATAGTATATGGAACTCTTCTACGAAAATGAAATTTGACAGTACCCAATAGAATTATAGAAGACCGTTATACACAAAGTTTGTGATATTGATGTTGTAATTAGCGATTTAGTATTGTTGTGATGTTATTTTAGTGAGTGAGGCGGTGACAAAAGCGGCGATGAAGAAAATAAGCATTTGCACACTCATAAGAATATAAGATTATTGCAAGATTAAGTTAATGATGGTCTGACATCTTTTAGCAGAGTATGATTGAATAATATAGATCATTTTACGAATCCGGCCAGGTCATAAAAAATATGAATCCAAATTATTTTCTAATTATTGAAAAACCATATGTGATATGTTAGTGGATCAATAAAAATGAGATTACTATATGTTATTGGAAGATTATTGGATATATGATTTAAGGTGTTTATATGATTTTAATAATACGGAGTAAAAATTACAATATATATATTTTTTTATCATTACAATATATAGAAATCGAAAATACACGTATGTGTTTGTTAGAGAATTCAAAGCATTACGTTTCAACAAATTTTATAGAAATTAGTTCAAATAGGATTAAAACTACAGCAAAAACCTAAAATAGGATTTGCTATGTTTTTATTCGAAAATAGGACCATATGAGTCCTATTGGAAACATACCTATTTTTGCATTCCATTCTTACCCTTCTATTAAATATGAATTAAAAATAGTCAAAAGCCATAATTAAATGTTTAATTCATAATAAATTCGAAAAAAATTCAAAAATTCGTAGAAATATAATTAAAAAATTTATAAAATTTTTATAAAATAAAAAATTCAAAAACTTTTTTTTTTCAAATAATTTTATTTTAAAAAAAATTAATAAAAAATAGTAAAACTCCGTAAAATAAATTTAAAAAAATATGGATGCCTTTCCCACCGCCTGTACTACCTCCCAGCACCACCACCTCCGGCCGATGAAAAAAATGTCATTTTCCCAGAAAAATGCCATTTTTTTTTCTGAAAATGCAAAAAAAATGGAATATTTCTCTTTTCGAATATCAACATTTTCATTTTTTCTGCCATAAATATGGCATTCGTAATGAACTTGACATTTTTTTCCCCTGGTGACTGGAGGTGGTGGTGCTGAGGCGGCATAGGCGGCGACGATTTTTTTTTAGTTTTTTTTTTAATTTCTTTTAATTTTTTTATTTTTTTGAAAAAAAAAATTATATTTTTAATATCGAAATGTTTTTCTTAATTTTTTAGTATTTTTTACGAATTTTTATTATTTTTTATTATTTTATTAGGAATTAAAACATTTTAATAGCTATAAGGGTATAATTGTCCAAGGTACACATAATTAGTCCTATGCAAACATAGTTTATTTTTTGGTCCTATTTGTGAAAAGTGAATGACTTTTAGTCCTATTTTGATAATTAACTCCAAATTTTAAGGTGTAAAATACGCCCAATTGCTTTTTACGTGTCAACTTTTTCTATACATGTGTTATTATTTTTTGAACGGGTATTAGTCCTTCGTAGGAGTAAAATAAGCCCAAAATTCAACAATACGAGTATAATTTCTTTATTCTCAAAATAGGACTAATATATGTCTCTTCTTCCCATTCTACCCCCTTCCTATAATTTCCAATAGATTTATTTTATTAATAAGAAAATCATATTTTTATTTATAATAAAAAAATAAAAAATAATAGTAGTAAAATATTTATAAACTAATAATGAAAACGTGAAAAAATAAAATAAAAATAAAAAAATAAAAAATAAAAAAAAATTATTTATTTTTTTTTTAAAAAGTCCAAAATATAAAATAAAATACCTAAAAAATATTTAAAAAATATGTAGGTCACTACCAACGCGTCCTCTACCTCCCAGCACTACCGACTCCGGTCGCCGGAAAAAAATGCCATCTTGTTTAAAAAATGACACATTTCTCTGAAAATGGCATAAAGATGACATTTTTACTCTTTGAAAATATCCAACTTTCTCTTGCTTTCTCTTCAAAATTGCCATCATGATGACATTTTTTCCCAACTTGGCAATCTTTTCCGGTGACCGGAGGTGGAGGTGTTGGAAGGTGGCTGAGGTGGTGGTTGTGGTCTATATATTTTTAAATTATTTTTTAAGATTTTTTTTTATTTTGATTTTTTTTATATTTTATAATGATTGTTTAGAAATCCTATTATCAAGGACAAATGAAAGGGTAGAATAAGAAGAGTTAGTTCTATTTTGTGAATTTAAAGTTTAAACTCCTATTGTTGCAACTATCCTTTTATTTACTCCTATTTAGGTTAATCTCCCTTTTTTGAAACAAGTGGATCTAGGGACGGATCCAGGATTTTGAGTCAAGGGGGGCGAAAATTTTCGTTAGTGTAGGAGATAAAAAATTCACTAGTGTAGCGGGGCGAATTTTTTTGCTAGTGTAGCGGGCGAAATTTTTCACTAGTGTAAGGCTTTGCGGCTATTTTAATTCAAAAAGAATCATTAATACATGCATGACGACATTTAAATCTATAGATTACATTCTAATTTTAGCAAATCAAAGGAAAATGATATAAAAATAAAAAGGGATATATAACATTTTATTTAAATATAAAGAGTTTATAAGGTACACATTCACCAATACTTTTAAAATAACTTCAACATTGTTTAACTACACGAGTCTTATAGAAATAAAGAATTGATTTTTGAATTACAATTTTTGTCTACCATGAAGGGTGTGTGATATTATTATTTTTAGAATAATATTATATTGCTAATTCCTATATATAGTGCATATTATATTTGTATTAATGCTAAAATAATTAAAGTTTATTATCTGTGGAATAAAGCCTTTTTAGAACGTAGGAAGTAAATGAATTGTGTAATTTAATGTCAATAAACATTTATAGTTTGGATTCACTTCACATGATCTAAAAACTTTGTAGCTAGAGTGTCTGGTATTTAATATCGTTTGATATATATTTTTCAAAATTGTTTACTAGTTATCTAATAAAGATAATTAACAAAACTAATTATTTTTATATAATAAGTATCCTAAATCTTAAGTAATGAGTTGTTCTATTGTTTATTTAAGTTATGTAAATGATTTTAGAAGTTCCTTCTTTTAAATCTTCAATTAAGTATTACATTATGTAAGACTATATATTAATTTTAAAAACTAAAAGTTAAGGGGTACGAATCTAATTAAAATATCAAAATTTTACAAAAAACATTACATATGTAGTAGAAAATTTTGAAAGTCCAAGGGGGACGGTCGCCCCCCGCCCCCCCTAAATCCATCCCTGAGTGTATCCAACAGCTTTAAACATTTATTTTAAATAAGTAGTAGTGCTAAGATACAATAATGTCGGTGTGGGTCTTTAAATTTGGTTCCGTTCGTAATTGTTTTTTGAAAGTAGAAATAACAAAAAAAATCATTTGTATGAGAAAATGATAACAATTAGAGTACTTAATTTAATATTGAGGATCCTGTATAAAATTACAGAATTACATTAAAGTACTACGGATAAAATGCTATTGTAAATAACTTTTTATGTAAGTAATCAAACAAGGTAATTTATATGTTATGTAAAAACAAATTAATTAATTTTTATAGGGAAAATCGCATTTTCAATCCCTCAAATAGTACACACATTAAAATGTAGTACCTGTGTTTTTGACTTTGTAAATGTTACCGCTCAATTATCAGAATTGTTTTAAATGTGGTCATCGTTGTCAAATTTGAACTAACATCGTTAACTTTTATAATTCTAACACAATATTATTTTTGTAATGTGTCTCAAATTATATCCTTACCGTGTCAAAACTTATAAAAGTTAACAATGTTAGTTCAAACTTAACGGTGAAGATCACTTTTACAGCTCCTCGGATAATTGAGGGGTGACACTTATAAACTCAAAAACACATGGACACCATTTCAATATGAATACTATTTCAAGACTGAAAATGTGATTTTTTCATCTTTATATAATCCAAAGAAAATAATCATTCACAATTGACCAAAATTTTGGTATCGCATGCATGGGCAGTGTGGCCGTGTGTGAACCGGTGAAATTCATATCACCCGGGCCTCATGAAAAACACAGTCATGTTTCACCTGATCTTCATCGGTTGGAGTGGTTGGGCCGCGTGGACATTTAATGAAATATTGCAATGCACTCTTTGAACATTTAAAAATTGAATAATTCTATTCACAGTCCCAAATTATTATTCAAAACCATTAATTAATTATTAATAAAGTACATTATTAAAAATAATTTAACCCTTAATAGTAATATACTCAAATACCATCATAGATTTATAATGATTCAACACACTTTGTTTAGAATCACTATATTTTATATTATATTAATATTGGTCATTTAAGTCTTCAAGCATGCTTTTCAATTATAAATCTCCAACCATATAATATATATTAATATTAATATGTATCATTATGTTATTCATTTAAAGAATACATAATTATTGTATAAAATATGGAGATAATTTATTAATCGAGATATGTTATTTTAAAACCCATGTAGAATACTAACACGGGGTCATTTTTATAATTTTTATAAACTTTTTTAGATGGGTTGTTGTTATAACCCATGTTAAATATCAAAACGGGGTATATTTTAAAATTTTACAAAATATTCTAAATCAGTTATGTTTGTAAGCGAGGTGAAAAGAAAAACGAGGTAAGTTTCATAATTAAAGAAACTTTATGCTAGATCTGTTAAACCCCACCGATGCTGAAGAAGTAAAAAAACACTTCGCACGCCTTATTAGAAAAGGAGAGCAGACTTAGAAACGCAAAACGCCAACAGACCTAGACTTTGGCGACGGAAAGAAGACAGCCAGACGGAAGAACAGTTCAGCGCACGGCGGACGACGTTCCAGCGCACGGTGGACTACGTTCCAGCGCACGGCGGACGATGTTCCAGCGCACGGCGTTCGAGCCGCGGACGGCGTTTGAGCAGTGGAAGGCATTCGAGCGGCTTTCGAGTAGGCGAACCTTCCTTTTCAGGTTTCAATTTGACCATGATTATCATAGTTCACATTTTGTTGCTTCTGTGAATTCACGGTGTACATAATAGGTTTCAATTTGTTGATATTGCCTCTGTGAAGTTAGTAGATGATGTTATTCAAAGATAGAATCTCCCTTTATCCTGATGCAGATTTACATTTGGATTAATTTTTGTAAGTGATGTGTTGTGAAATTGTGTCTTTGATGATGTTATTGATTTGTTTTTTAAAATTAAAAGTAATGACTCATTTGACTCATGGGATAGAGAGGGGGCTGATGGGGATGGTGCTAATGAGCTGGGGAGGGGGCTGGTGGGCTGGGGAGGGGGATGGGGAGCTGGGGAAACACAGAAAAATAAGACTGTATAAAGTATAACTTATTAGTTTATATTTCTTTGATATATTAATTTTTGAAATTCTGAACGGGATTTCGATCATAGAGCAGTGCCTAATATTGCAATAAGTTTTTAACAGTTTTGAGGGGACAATCAGTCTTATTTGCCATGTACAAGTCAACGTTTTATCTTGGAGGAGAGCGAGTAGTTCCTCCACTCTTCTCCATTGTCTCTGCCATTTGTTTTAAATACTTTAAAGTCAATGAATGTCAACATAATTGTGATAGGCATTTAGCTCAAACTTGATGAACTTTAAGCTGAAACGTGATGAATATATGTTTGTGACACACCTATCTAGGTGAGCTAGAACTCACTGGTGTAATTGGAGGCAATGTATGTTCTGATGTTTTATTGTTGTTCTTGAGTTTTCCTCCTCCAACATGTCTGAACTGATACTTTTGTTAATTCTTTCAATGTATATTATAAGAGAAATTTTCTTAGGACTAAAACACATTTAACAAGAATAAAGTTCATAAATAGGACTATCATTTTCCTAGACTATCATTGTCCTATTATGAAAATATGACTCAATTCACTCTGATTTTGGGAACTTTTAATCAATTGATTCTTTAATAGGACTAAATAAATCTTATTTGGGGAATAAAACATACTTAGTCCTGTTTTTAACTATATGTTTTTTGTGATCCTATACTGAGCAATTTCTAATAATTATAGATTTATAATGCTCATTGTTTCTTGCATATTGACATTCTTTCCCACCGTGAGTGACATCAGATGAAAACGTTTCTTATAATCTTGATATGCTCTCTAGACTTGGGCTAAAGTTTGTATTCAAGTCAAGCTTTGACAAAACTAATCGCACTTCCTCCAAATCATTCCGTGGTCCTGGCATGTATGAAGGTTTGAAGGTATAGATAAATATTTCCTTTCACTGTGCAAAGTGCAATTTTTCCACTAGATCATTTGAATTAGGTTGTTATAAACAACAAATCCACGGACAATTTAAAGTAATGTATGCTGTGTGCACTTCCATTCAGATCCTTGAAAGGGTGAAAACAATTTATGATGTACCCGTGGTGACTGATGTTCATGAAAGCATTCAGGTGACATTTGATTTCTTATTGCAAAATGATGCATATTCCCGTGTGATAAATTCCTCTTTTCTTGTTTGGTTAAAAATGTGATTTTAATTACTAAACTCATTTATTCCCCTCAAGGGAAAACATGAAAAAAAAATGAAAAATGAATCTTGAAAACAACCTGAGTTGAAGCGTGAACCTTATTAAGGAGCTGTGGGAGGGGGATAAGGCTCTATTTGGGATCCATAATTGTCTTATTCTATCAGAATGAGTCATAATCAGAGCTTTTGACTTTCTTATTTAGCTTTAGAGAACGTTTGTCTTCATCTTTCTTTCACGCGTCAGACAAAGATCCCTCCCCCTCAAATTTGTTTGACGTTCTTCTATTCAGAATTGAACAACATGCTGGATAAACAAACACTTTTCAACTGCGGGCTCTGGTACCTCTCTTAAGTTTAAAGTCAAAATGTGTTGTTTTCATCATGTCCCGAGTCTAATAGTTACTCATGCAAACAAGATATATGAGATGCTTTGTTATTGCTTTTTTCAGTGTGAAGCAGTGGGGAGGGTTGTTGATATAATTCAAATTCCTGCTTTCTTATGCCGGCAGGTAAGTCTATCAGCTTTAACTCTGGCTTTGGTTATCAAATCTTAGTGCGATTATTTTACAAGTGTGGATATTGTAAGTTATCTCTATTTTAAGTTTTCTCAAGTTTACTCATTAGATTAGTTAAAATATAATTTTATTTACTTGAACTTTTTTGTGTTAGGTATCTACACCGCTTGTGCATATCCAGAAATATTGGTCATGTGCATATTCATTGATCCACAGACCATTCAAGGAGTAGGCAATTCTGTAAATGAGGTGCAAATGTATATATCTACAAGATTAAATGAAGGCGGAAAGCAATGTTACTTGGCTCCTTATCACTACTAGTAAGTAAAAGTTACTAGAACACATACTTGGCTCCTTGTTGAAGATAAAAATATTTTTTTATGTATTATTTTATTTTTAAATTATTGTTTGTCTTTTATCTTATTTTTTATGTATACAGGAATCATTGACAGCTCTTTATTCTCTCTCCTGTCCAAAACACTATTGTCTTCTTGTGTTCTTTGGGGAATAAGCCAAACACTATTGTCTTCTTTTGTTCAAAAGATATTGATGAAGTACGAACTCGTTGGGCATCATATTTCTTATAAATGACGCAATCCATCAACGACACATGATGAACGTGTTTGTTTAAGTTTTTGAGTGATGATGAAACTTGTAACTTTATACAATGTGTAAATACTCTAGATTTGTGTAAGGATTGTTTTATTTTAGCTTATTATTATTATGTACTACGTTGTTACTTGAACTTGTTTAACATTTGTGGAAGAATTGAAAAATAGCTTGTGTTATTGTTTTATATGGATCAAGTGAACATGTGAAAAATTGTGCTATAGTAGTTGATGATACTGTTAATGATGTGATTATAGTATAAACGAGGGTCTTATTGCATTTTTTTGCGTGAAAAATAACGAAAAAATTGAAGCCTTTCACATTAGTTGTGAAATAACTGATGTGATTGCTTTTCTACATGGGTTATAACCGATGTGAAACACATGTTCTGAAAAAAATGAAGCTTTTCACATGGGTTATAACCGATGTGAAAAAACCTATGCTTCGGGAAAAATTGAAGCTTTTCTACATCAGTTGTAAAATAACCGATGTGGTTTCTTTTTTACATGGGTTATAACCGATGTGAAATATCATTAAAAATGCCGTTTCGGACTATCTTCTATATCGGGCACTAAACGACCGATGTAGAAAGAATTTCCACATCGGCTGTTTGACCGATGTGAAAAGTCAATACTTTTCACATGGGCTGGAATCACATCGGCTGTTTGACCGATGTGAAAAGCCTTTTTTGACCGATGTGAAAAGTTTTTTTTGTACTAGTGATATCCTAACTGAAAGCAGTTGTTTTATATAATTCATATGTGTGTGTATTAACACACTCTTAATATATTAATCAATCACTCCTTCAATCAACTAATATAATATTAACTAATATATTATTGAAAAGTATACAAAAATCATATTTACAAAAGATCACACATGTCAAATTATTTTTAATGATGTTTTTTCATTAATTAATAATTAATTAGTGGTTGTGACTTGTGAATAGAAAAAAGGGGATGTGAATAGAATTGCCCTTAAACTTAAAATTATTAATGTAGTTGTGATTGTCACTAGGCCAATTTTAATTTCTATTGAGCTATACATGATGTTTGTTGTGCTTTAGCAAGAAGAAATTAGTGATGTGGATATAATGAATAAAATTTATTAATTAAGTTAATTTAGATTATATAAGGTTTCCAGTTAATTTAATTACAAATTCATTATCAAGTTCTTAATTTTGAGCCCAATATTAAACAACGACCTAATATATAAGAGACATGATCCAACTGATGACGAGGGCAACAAAACCCTAGTTCGTTTAAATGCATTTTAAACATGCACTGTTTTTAATAAGATAAGTTGAGTGGGAGAATTTCCTTTCTAATGTGTAGTGCTTTAAGTATAAAAATTTGCATAACATGTGAATCAAAATTATTATTTTTATTTAAATACTTATTTGACTTTTTTGAATTAGTAGACATACAAGTTCGAATCAAAATCTTCAATTTCTCTTTTTCTGTTTTACTTCATTTGCCATGGCACATGTGCATTTTCCCTAGGGGTGGGACTTTGGAACCAAGAATCGGAAAATCGCTGGAATTGAGCCGTTAAAATACGGTTTGGTTCCTATACATGAGTTATAAATTGTTAATGTTTCGGTTCTTATTCGTTGTTAACTGTTCGGTTCCTAGTTCCTATAAAAAATATGTCTACGGAACCGTTAAGGAACTATTATTAAAAAATAAAAAATTTGAAAGTATAACTAGTAATAACAACAACAACAACAATAATATTAACATTAACAACACCAATAATTATAGTAACGATAATAATAATAATAATAATAATAATAATAATATATTCGATGACATTTAATCACACAAAAATTTAAATTTAATTCATGGAAGCGAATGATGATGAATACATTAAACTCGTTTTTTAACAAATCATATTTTGTTCCATTATGGAAATTTCATAATTATAAAATTAAACCAAATTAATTCGTGTTGGTTCGACATATTTTTTCTTTATTCTACTATGATGACTCAACTTTTATTGATATCAAACGACAACGATTTTCATATATTATTTAAACAAAATTCAAAAAATATTTCATTCTATTAAGCATTGAATAAATTAAGTTTGGACTTGACGTTTGAAGTGATAATTAAGAGATTCAAAAAGTACTTATTGCCTTTGTTTTGAATTTTCGACGTTTTCACGTTGTAGAAAGTAAATTGTTTTAATTTTTTATGGAAAAAAATTATGCTTAGGAACCGATAAAAGTATGAATCAAACTGTTTGCTATTGGTTCGGTTCCATAACGGTTCTTGAAACTTTAGATAGGAACCGAACTAATTTGATTAGTTATGTTTTTTGTAATGGTTCCACTAATTTCATATAAGAAACGAATCAGTCCCAAACCTAATTTTTCCTTCTGTTCCCATGTATATCTGCTTTGCACTCTTGCTATATTCCAATTTTCCTATTGTCTTCTTCTTTGATTTGCTTTTTCCTTTTTTACTTTTTGTTCATTTTGTTTAGTTTTACTCACTTTGTTGTTTGTTTTAGAGATCTATATAATTCTTTTTTTACCTTTCCATTTTTCTTCATCCTCTTTTTTATTTCATGATTTCATGTAGACATTTATCATTTTCTATTATCACTATTGGCATAAAAGTCACAGTTAATAAAAAACTTTTGACTATGTTTTGTTATTTGAACATAAAATGAAAAAATGAGATGGTGATAAATGTGGTAGTGTTCACTAGTCAATATTGTGACACTTAATGCCACTTTAAATATTGTGTTAACTATTACTCTCATTCTAATCTAACAAAATTATAATTGTGAATGAGAGTTGTTACCGTTAACTTATTTCATTACATCTTGTGCATGACAAGTTGTACATTGCTTTTAAAAAATGGAGCCTTACTTTTTAATAGAACTTCTTTACCCTTACCATTCTCTCCTAAACTCCCGTATAGCATGTTGCTCTCTTCCATCGCAGCAGTTTTAAGACTAGCTCATGGATTTATATATATAAAAACTTTAGTTCATGGAGTATATTTTACTCAATAACCTATTTCAGGCACAATAAAATCTTCAATCATGATTTATGCGAATGATTCTTCTGAAATCTCTTTTTGAGTTCGAGAGTTGAAAGAAATAAATAGGAAGAGGAAGATCACTTGACTCGATTTTGATGATAATTTACTTAATTAAATATTTTATATGTTAGTATTATATGTATATATACTCCTATATAATTAGGTTCTAATGAGAAAATGACCGTAGGAGAGAAATGAGAATAAATATGAACCGTTGGATTGTATTATGTGAAATTGAATGTGCATTAGGTGAAACTGAAATGTGCATTAAGTGGAATTGAAAAGCGCATCACAAATGATACGGCATAGTGACATTATGTGAAACTGAACTGTACATTATGTAAAACTAAAATGTTAATGAGGTGAAACTAAAATGTGAAAAATAAAAGGTATGATGCGGTGACATTTTTGTACCTTTTATTATGCACTTCAATTTCATCTAATGCAAAATTGAGTTTTACTTTTTATTCTGCACATTCCAATTTCACCTAATGCACATTTTGGTTTCATCAAATGCACAATACAGTTTTGTTAGAATAATTATTTATTGTGTTCAATTTATTTGTAATTTATTTAATAAGTCTTTGTATTTAATTATTTTAGCTGAGAGAGAATTATGGCTCATTTAATCTAGCTCTAAAATAGCCCACACGCCTCATAAGCTGCATTCCTAATTGTATTAGACAGTTCGAATATCTCTCCTATAAATATAGGTTAAGATGGCCGAAAACTGCTAAGTCTCTACACAATCTGTTTCCGCATATTATTCTCTTCACTACTAGAAAAATGGTCTATAGTGACACTAAATTAGTGTCACTAAAAGTTTTAGTGACACTATAAAAGTGTCAACGAATGGTTGGAACTCTGATACTAAAAAATGTGTCACTAAAAAGTATCAGTAAATTGTGACACGTTAGTATCATAAAATATAGTGATACATTTGCATTGGTATACTTAACGACATTTTGATATCATATAAATTAGTGATATCACTGGTGTTACAAAAACATATGATACTCTTGCGTCATCCAGATTTATGATACTTTAATGTTTATAAAAATTCTGACATGTTTTTGTCAATCCTTTTTTTGATACTATAGTATCAAGTATTAAACACGTTTAATACTCTTTTTGCACCACCATATATCCACCTAAAAGTTTAATTTTTAAACTTGTAAACAAATATAAAACAAATTCATAATCATTCAAAGTATTCCATAACTGTCATATAGATTCAAATCAAAGTCAATTCAACATGAAAATTCAAAGGTAAGTTAACCTAGCTTCTTTTCAAAACAAAGCAAAATCCAAAATAGGGCTGCAAACATTAAGTAATCATTACATATGTTCTGGAAAAACATAAAGTACATCACAATCATCAAAATCTTATGTCCTTCCAACCATTTGTACTGCTTAACAACCATACGAGCTTCACAAAAATCCATCTAGCACAAATTATTCAGGTTCGTCACTTCAGCCTGTAAAAATAATAATGATAACTATTTCAATCATCACACTACATAAAATCCTAATTACTGAAAACTACATTCTTAACACATTTATCTCAATAAATAAAATTTCAACTTACTCATTCAGTAGGTTTGCTGCATATGAGACCCATTCTTCAAGTATTTGCAGTATATCATCTTCAGAGTACTCATTGACTGTGGAGAACTAAAGCAACACCAAAACAAAAACTTAACATTGCTTTTAAAAAATACTACAAAACCAAGAATGAGAACCTAAAATCATTTCATGTGTAGGAAAAAAACTGAAGCATCACACAAAAATAAGACATATGAAGGATTGCATTCTGGTAAACACATTCAAGAGGAAACACAATAATCTCACACGACATATCTCTCAAAATCCAAACAATAAATGGGTAGAATTCTAGTTTTCGTTATTAAGAACAACCTAGCCGTGTCATTATGTTTGCTGCCCCGTTTTCGTTTCCGTTTATTTCCCTCGTGTTTCCCAGGTATGTAGTTGATTGATTCAACCTCTTTGAGGACATCTTGACCTGAAAAGGCTTTAGGGGGTCCCTCTCTCTACTTTGTTGTTGAAAACCTTTTTCAACTCTCGGAATTTATGGTCATGAGGTAAGAAACGACGATGGTCCATATACACACATTTCTTGCTGAATTTCAGCCATGTA